TGGACTTGATAAAATGCGGTGGTTAAATATTAGTTAAGGTAATTTTTAAAAGTTGTAAAATGAGTATGTGGATAACTGTTCGGAATTTGCAAATCATTCAAGAGTTCTAAGTGATTAAGGGATGGATTAATTCTTCATTGCCAAAAAAAAATAATAATAATAAAATAAAAAAATTAAATGCTGCACATAATACTGATTAATTGAACGTAATTAAAATTTGTCATTATTTTTCACAATTTGGTTCTTAACATTGACATTTGTCCAAGGGGAAAGGCGGATTGCATGCAACTAATATTTATCAAATGTATATATATATATCAACTTTTGGCTCAATAATACTTTGTAATTTTTTTGTTTTTTTTTCAACTTCAGAAAAAAAAAAAAACAAAAAACAAAAGAGACAGAGAATAATTTATAGGTTTGGGCTTTGGGAATAATGCTAAACAGAGAAATAAGCAAATAATTTAAAGGTTTGGGCTTTAGGAATAATGCAACTATTTGCTTATTTCTCTGTTTAGGTTATGCAACCCAAAAGCATAAAAGATGAGCCCAAATGCTATTTGTTACTAATAATTTGGGCTTGGTTACAAGTCTAGACTATAACTCTTAATATCTCTCGGTCCATAACTCAACCCAAATGAAAGGTGGTCCAACTAGGGTAGTTATGAATATCTTGCATCTACATTGGGCCAGATAACAGGCTTCATGTTGGTGTGAGTGGATAGGTTAATTGGATTTCCACCGAAAAGGAGAATGGATAGTTGTTTGAGAATGGATAGTTGTTTCCTTCAACATTTGGGCTATGTTTCGTTTGCTTTGGAGTAAAATATTTTTAGAAAAATATTTTTTTTGTGTTTTTTAAATATTTGGTTGTCGTAAAATATTTAAAATATTAAAATTTAACAAAAATAACATATTCATTAATTTTTGGTAAGTTATTTTATGCCACACCTGATGGACTAGGTCTAAACCTTTGCGAAACACCAAAAAATAAAAATAAAAGAAAATATCTACTTGAAAAAAGAAAATAAAAAATATTTTCCGTCGAAACAAACGGTGCCTTAAATTTTTTTATTATTCAAATAAATGTAGAATGAAATTATCTACAAACTAACATCCCTTATTGTCTCTAACAGGACTTAAACTTTATAAAGTTGAGAAGATACCACTATGCTATAGTCTTTGTTTACTTGGCATTAGTCTTGATCTCTCTTACTTAAAAGGAGAGGTTGAAAGTTCAAGTCGGGGACATTATTGTGGGGGTGTACACGTTTAATTGAACTTCTAATTTAAAAAATACACATTTATTTGAAAGAAAAAAAATTCTCAGATCAAATTTTGCAGCGCTGTGCTTAGCACAAAACCGCTTTATTTTGTCTCAACTAAAATCTGATTGCTTCATACATTGTGCCAAAGGTTGAATTTGTAAATATTTGGGACAAATTTTTATAGTGAAATGTGTTTTGGAAACAGATTTATAACATAACATAGAAGAAAACAAATTGAAAATCTATTTAGTTGATTGCCAATGAAAAGAAAGTTATATGCACACACACACACACATCAGATAACTTTGAATAATTAAATAACCAATTATTAGGTTAGTGAATTGGGTGGCTTCTCAACCTCGTTAATTTTCAATATTCCCATACAATATAAAAGTGTCAATGGCCCTAATTTACACACATCAGAATGCAACAACAATGTAACATTTATAAACATATTCACGTTAAAAATATAACACTCATGCAACATATTTAATTTAATATATTTATATAGTTGTTATATTATTAATTTATAAAAATTGTATTATTTTGCATGATTGATTTAAATGAACGATATAGACACGGAATGGAATCACCTCTCTGATTCGTTTTATCGAATCTGTGACAATATCTTCTCATTCCCTTCCAATGTGATTGGCTTGATTATGGACTCGGTATGCGTTAACTTAAGGCTCATGTCCTATAAAGCCAAGGAGAAGCAATGTAGCTAGGGTTGAGATGCACCATCATCCTTCGTCATGCGGAAAATTATTACTATATGCTACGAAAAAATATTTTGTAAATGCCAAAGAAGAAGTCTTAGCTATGCTTGAGTTCTAACTTGTCCGGAACCACGTGGTTCCCGACAATGTAATAATTTCTCTCATCCTTGGCATCCAATGCAGAGCTCTGTCTGTCTGTTTGGCTGTTTTTGCTCTTTGTTGTTTAGCTAGCTTCTTCCTGTTGCTGTGGTTTGTGCATTTTTGCTCCCGTCGATCGTACTACTACTTTCAACTTTGTTAATTTATGACACTGCATTTTCCCAAAAGGGCTTACCCTCATGCTAAATTACATACCGCAGTTGAGAATTGAAAATCAAAACGACCATACCGTTATGGAATTGAAATGAATGTGAAGATTGATCGTAATTTGGAGAGTAATGCTACGCACAAAAACCATTTTTTTTTGTGTGACTTCAATAAATAGTGACGATAATATTTTTTTTAAAAATTTTCTTAGAGTAGATGTATCGGTCCTATAATACACGTACTATTTAGGTCAGAAGTGCGATTCAAAAATATCTCGACATCAAAGACTTACTTTCCAGATCTGCCAATGCTGGAGGCGACAGTAATAATTACCCTTATGAGCCATGATCATAACTTATTTATTGTAAGTTATTCCATATGGATCCATTTGTATGACCTTATTATTAAGGGAAAATATTTAAATGAAAAGGAAGAGAAAGTCCAAATGAAAGCAAACTCTTTTATCAACAAAACATATGATTTTCTTAATGGCCAAAGTCAGATGGAGCACTTTACAGACTAATGCTCCAAATATTACCTAATCCCTTGGTGACTTTGATAATTAATTGTAGTCACTGATACAACTGACACCAATCAGATGCAGACCTTGCAAGCATTCAACAAATGGCCACTCTTAACGTTACCATCACTTAACAAACTAAAGTTGCAATAAATTAACAATGGAGAAAATTTATATCTATATATATAAATATATATATGTATGTATATATAGAGAGAGAGAGAGATATGATTTTGATAGATGCTTTTTGGCTTTTTGTTTGTTTAAATTAAATTTTATGTGAAGGTTGTGCAAGACCTAAGGAGTAAAGCATGCGAGTATGGTCCCCCAATAGACTCCTGTTTTACATACTTTTTGGTTAATGTTTGATGCTTACCTTACAATGGGCATGTTGAGAGAGAGAGTGACAAGGTCACACGCAGAGAGAGAGAGAGAGAGAGAGAGAGAGAGAGGTACTTCCGTTATTGGGCCTCTCAACTAAACTCAGGAAAATGTAGAGAACCTCATTAACCTATCTGCATGTGATGGCGTGGGCGTGACAATATTCAATTGCCTTGCTTGGGACCACTTTTATCTTTTGTTTTTTTTTACTTTTCAGACTCTTCAAATTTTTATTTTTATTTTTATTTAAAAAAAGAAAAACCAATATTCAGTTAAATACCACTATTTAGGCCTAAAACTTTAATCAAGAAATCTAGTCAAGGAAAGAATAGAAATCTTTGTCTAGCTAGGTACTCTGTCTCACCCCATTTATTACTAAAAGTATATATTGAAATAATAATTATACACATTTTTGTACAACATAATATTTTATATGATTCACCTAAATAAAAAATTATGTTCACGAGAAGAGAGATTTCACTATTACATATAAAGTAACAAAATATATAACCATTACCCAATCTCAATCACTCACTCACTCACTCATACTTTGAAGTTACATCGGGAAATATATATATCTTCTCATCTCCTTATAATACTTGTCCTTAAATCCTTTAAATCTTTTTCATCCCTCTCTCTTCATCCAAACACAAATCTATTTACCCAGGTTTCAAATCTAATTCCTCGTAAATTTCACAACTTGCCTACCAAGGAGTTAGAACTTCCTTCCCAGCTCTCTAGCCTTACTCCATAAAGACTTTGGGCTTCCATAAAATTATCTAAAGTAAACATGTTATACTTGTCGGAGTCACTGTTCTAACTATTCTGCCCAAGCGCAATCGATTTCACTTTTCTTCCGCACCAAAATTTGAGTCACAACCCCCTTCCTAAATCCACACCTTGCCATCCTTTGTCCCGACTGCCAACCTAATTGTATTGCAAAATAAGACATAAAAATATTAGTCTCACATTATCTAAGAGTAAAAACATAGTAATCATTTTACACCCCTAAAATAGGAGTGACATTCCCTTGTAAATATAATTATAATATAAGTCTTGGTAAACAAATTTATATGGAATTTAAATTTGATGTGGTTTATTGTTATTAATTTTTTTTATGGGTTTTATTACTTAAAAGTCCCATTATTTTGTATAGGTTTTGATGTTTGATCCATTTTTCAAAAAATTACAGATTGATCCTATTATTAAATATTTACATTTGTCAACAAAGAGTCCACTAAAAAAATGACCTATTTTATATTGATCTCTAATTTTTTTTTTTTTTTTTAAAAAAATAGACCAATATCAAAACCTATACAAAATTATGTGACGCCCAAATTTTTTTCCTCTGGCAAGTAATTGACACATCAAAAGTATGTATGCACTCTCCTTTATTTTCAATATTTTTTTTCCTACTGTAACCGTTGAGTAAGTATCACTAAAATACTAATGATACAATATTTTATAAAAAGAAAAACGTAAAAGGCTGTTGGAGGTAGATTATGGGATGTTCTAAAGAGCTCGAAACACCATACATTGTTGATAAAAATAAATAATAATAATAAAATAAATAAATAATAATAATAATAAATTTACCTAATGGGAGGTAGAGATACAATTTCAGAGTTGTGTGTTTATCTATTCAAAAAGGAGAAGAAAAAACAGTTAAAAAAATGTAAATTCATTTTAAAATATCATTAAATTACAACTCTCTGTTGCAAGGTACGTATATCATTTCAAGAACATTAATATGTTGTCTATATACAAAATGTTTGCTAGTCTAATATAATATTACCACAAGACAAAACGGTGTGAGTGGAAGTAGCAAAAGCATACTTGGAAGGAGTGGATGTGGAATTCATCCTATGATTCCTATCTATTTATAACCTCTCATCCCTGTGAAGCCTTCGTATTCATAGATAAGAAGGAACAAAGAGGAGGCTCTGTGCTAAAATACAAGGAGGGTGCACACAATCTTATCGTGCACCACAAGCAGTTGAAGCTGCCAGCATGATCTGAGCTTTCCTTCATCCCATGGGAGAGAATAGATCATGTGGCAGTTTCACCTGTTGATGGGAGCATGAACCCAAAAAAAACCCTAATCACCACAAACCCTAATTTTCATCTTCTGATTAGGGTTCCTCTTCCTTGCAAAAATTCAGAAAAGTAAGGTATTTGCTCATCTATTTGAGTTTTGGCTCATCTGGGTATCCCAGTATTTATTTATTTATTTATATTAATTATAGTATTTTTTGGTCTGATTGCTTTTGTTCTTCTTTTGTGTGTCAAGTGATGCTATGTGAAGAATCTCATAAGCAGGTGGGAGGTGTTGTTAGGGTTTTTGGTGACAGAGTTGGTGCTTTTGAGATCCCTCCACCCTTTTATTTCTTGGGGATTGAGTTTTTTTTTAATAATATTTTTTCATGTACTGTTCTTGTCAATTCATGCTCCATATGCTTCCTTTTGTGTTCATTTGTTCTGATCTATTTATAATAATATATTTCCTTTTGTTTTTTTCATGAATTGGGATTGAATTTTAATCTGTCCAACATGCACATATATGCATATATCTGCAGACTTGTAAGTGAATCCTTAATATTAAATCGCGTTGAAACAAGTACTGTTACTTACTGTTTGAAATAATATTTAAAACACGCTACAACAGAGGATCTGGACGCATTTTATAGTATAACTAGATGTGTAGACCGAATTTCTAATTGAACTTAAATTTTATCTCTCTCTAGCATATTTCATGGTATGTTTTTATTTATTTATTGTAGTCATGAAATGTTGGTGATATATATAATAGCATGGTAGAAAAACTGCATGAAGTAATTACAGGGATTATGACCAGACATAACAATGAATTGTCTCATTTGAAGCTTCTGAATAAAGCTGCAAGTTTGGTAGAGAACAAGACAGACCCTTTTTCTCACAAAGTTTAGAATATTGAAGGTCTGAGGAATCAAACCTTTTCCAAAGAGAAACCCATTCAGAGCAAAATTGTCAAGTAAAAGAGAAAAAGGTTATAGAAATCCAGGTTTTACTTCCTCAATGTGGTAGCAGAATGAACTAAATTCTGAGCTGATTCCAAATATCTATGCAATTTCATGCAAAACCATACATGCATAAATACATCTATACACACACACACACACACACACACACACACTATTCTAAGCAAAATGTGGGGGTATATGGCACATCTATCTTTAGCTTTGTAGTCCTACTTTCATCATTTTTCTTTTTCCAATCTCAAGCACAATGTACCTAGGCTACTTTTTTTGGCCATCATGATATAGCTAACCTGCAAACTCTAGTGAAATCATTTTTTAGTTTCATTTTTCTTGTGTGTGTGTGTGTGTGTGTGTGTGTGTGTGTGTGTGTGTGAGAGAGAGAGAGAGAGAGAGAAAATTGCCGAAAGTTGAGAACCCTTTGGAGTTTTTTCTTGAACATTGTCTTTCAAGACCAATTGTTCTTTGGAGTTTTTTTCTTGAACATTATCTATCAAGACCAATTGTGTATTTTTTCGTCAGACATTGTAGTCTCTCTCTCTATCTCCTTGTTTTCTTCGGGCTCATTTTCCGGATATTACATCAAATATGTGAAGAATAAAATCCCAAATAGTAGCACAGTCAACTTTCTACGCAGTGGATGTAACACCACTGCCTAATTTCGGTGACATTTCTCCGGGACCTTGACTGATTCTCTCTCTCTATATATACATATATATATATATATATATATTATACATGTATGTATGCACATAAGTCTCCATTATTCACATGTTTTGCTAGCTCAATAGGAGGAGTTGAAGCTATGTTTGATTATTTGTTTCTGATGTTGAGGATGGGTTGTTGGGGGGTTTTGTCACCTGCTTTTGTTGGTACGCTATATTAAGTTTGACTCCAGATGTCTTTTTGATTCTGCAAGTAGTTGGTTTGGTCACTTACTAGGATTTTAGATCATTAGTTTCACATATACTATTTATGGATTGATTTCAAGTGAACCCTAAAAGGCATTTTTTTATTCACAATGGGACTATTACTGGCCTAAAAAGATAGGGTTAAAGTCATCAAGATCGACTAGCTAGTGTGTACATAAAAAGATATGTGGGTTGGAAAGAAAAATGGCTTTGAGGCTAGCCTAATAAGACCAAATAATGTGGGGGCTATATATGATGCAAGCATTTGAGGAGTACTAAGGAAAAAATGATAATTACAGCACTAAGAAGAAAAATGAGGGAAACTATTACATGTTCCGGCCAATCACTAGCTTACATGCAAATAAAAACAAAAAAGTTTGAATAAAATCGATACATTTTCTTGTGTTTTAGCTTATGATTGATCGGGACACATGATAATATCATGACCGTATAATAATTTTTGAAAAACAATGAACACTCTCAATTAAGAAGTGGAAGATGAGGGTTCGATTTTTTTGAGGAAAAAAAAAAAAAAAAAAAAAAAAGAAAAGAAAAAAAAGAAAGAGTTTGATCACTTCATTTATGCACTTGAGTATTAATAGATAAATCAAACGGTTGAGAATTGATATCCAACAGTCAAAGAGAATGCTATATTTACAAATTTGGATAAGGTTTGGTAAGTTCTTATTTACGAGGTTCCATTTCAATCAAGACTTGAGTGAATCAAATGCAGGTAGGGATACAACTCAAGCGAGTTGGACAGATTATGGGGTCAGTACAAGCTTAACAGGAGACATATCTCAATCTTAAATGGGGATACAACTTGAACAGTTGAACCCTAAAACCGTACTGTAACAATATATATTTATCTTTATAATTTCACAATATTATATATTTTTTTATCATGACAAACATTTTTCTTTTTTCCACTTTTTTTTTTTTTTAAATCTTGATTTATTGTAAATATATTAATTCTGTGGATAACCTTACAAAAGAAAATTAAAAAACCTGTGATTTTTTTTTTACTCGGTTTTGTTTTCTTTATTTATTTATATATATTTATTTGTCACATTTTAAAAAATATAAATAAAAGTAGCGTAGGAGTAATTCAATCCGAGGATAACCTGAGATCAACCCAATTTTTTTACAGAGTTCTATGCTAGTTCAAAATTAATTTTGAACATACAAGATGGGCTCGGGTTAAGAAGCTTTGTTTGAATGTGAGATCGGGTTAAGTTTTCTATCACATGTTATATTGGGTTAAGTATTCAGTGATAAATGATGTCCGTATCACTTAATATTTTATTTCATTTTAATTGATATTTATCATTTTTAATAATATTCAAATTGTTTTACCAAACGCACTTTATTGAAACTAATATATGTCAAGTTTGATTTCAGCTCTGAGTTGTTCAATTCTTTATTCTTTTAGTCCAGATCGAGTTAAAGTATTTCAACTAAAACCTAACCCGAAATCTTAATAAAAATAATAATGAAAAATCCATAACTGAGTTGGATACATATACCCTTCTCCAAATTGCATGACAATTACATAACAGACATGACAATTACATATAACAAAAAATCCATAACTGAGTTGGATACATATACCCTTCTCCAAAAATTCAAACTAGGTGATGGTTTCATGACAATTACATATATATACATATATATGTGTGTGTGTGTGTGTGTGAGTGTGTGACCTAACACTTTCATTGTGCCAAGTAAGACCATAATAGCAGCACTAATGATGGTAGTAGAAAAATTGAACCCTAACCCAATAAATTAACGAAGCTCCATTAATTGAGCTCTACAGACCCATGATGCTCCTTAAAACAATAATAATAAATAAATAAAAATAAATTGGAAGGGGAGGACGCCGTAATAAAAGAAAACATAAGGGAGAATATGGTCAACTTCCATTAGGGGTGGTATTGATTTTTTTTTTTTTTTTTTGAAGAAAATGATGTAATAGGAAATAACAATTTTTTTCAAAACTCTCTCCAAAAAGGACAATAAGTGCTCTGAGGACTTACATTATCCTCACCACATTACATGTGATACAATATTGCTATGAAACCTTATCTTTGATTGTTAATGACGATGAGAATGGTTTAAATTTCCACCGAAACTTAAATATTTTTTATTTAAAAAATAAAGAGAGTGAATATGATTTTTATAAAATATATTTATAAGTGTATATTTACGAATGCCTTTGTAGTGCACTGGTTAGGTTGCTGCCCTGTTGTCTTTAAAAGTCACCTCACTTTTAACTTTAATTCTAACAATCTTACTTTAAAAAATAATGAGTTATAATAAATGTGAATGATTATGACATGATGCTCATGAAATATTTAATTTCAGGATATAAAAAATATTAAATACCTAATTCGAACCAAAAATCACTGCATACTTGTGATGGAGCCACTACCTCACTTACATAATTTTAAGTTCCTATTCCTTATATCACTGCTCGTATTTAAATACATTATCCATGGTCCTTCATTTACTTGCTAATGGACTCGCAATCCTGGTATGCCTAATCTGTATTGGGCATCAAATTTATTGGGCTTAGCTTATCAGAGTGATTTCAGTCCATTTATTTGCCGTCAATATCAAGGATTTAAAAAATAAATAAATAAAGTAGTGCTATAACTCATAAATACTACATTGTTTATCGGTTCAAATCTTGCGAATTTATATAAATTATAAAGCATAATTTTGTTTATTTGATTTCTCTAATTTTATTATTTAAGTTTAAAATTTACGTGTCTGCACTACGATGTCATGCATTTCCAATTACGTGCCCCCACCTAGTAAATCTTGACATGTAAACACATTCGACTCAAAAGCTCGATATAAGTGCATAAAACATTTATGAAGTATATTATGTGTAACATTTTTATCCCCGATTTGAAAAGAGATGTAAAAAATATCTATAATTTTTTTATATTGTGTAAAAAATTTCTCCTGACATAAATTACTGTTGTAATACCCATTTTGCACTTTTACTCTTTCGAAAATGTCCAAAGAGTACTACTAATCTCTCATAATATAGGGGTGTTATACGTACATTACCTTTTTATTTATTTATTTTTTTGAAACTTTTTTATCAATGTATATCTAAAAAAAAGTTTGAGAATTTGTAAAACAAAGATTTGAATTTGTTGAGATTTCAGTTTATTATTTTCTGCTAAATTTTTTTTTCTTTATTTTATTTTTTTTTTCAAAAAAAAAAGGGGGGAAAAATCTTAATATCAACGTGCACTGGTTTTCAGAGTTTGGAGCAAATTTGTTTTATTTAGTTTACACTTTATTTTCATTTTTTTTAAATCTTTTTTTTTTTTTTTACTTTTATACTTTTATTTATATTTTCTATTTTTATCTTTACTTGTCCATTGCCCGCGTCCTCCAATAGTGTCTTTTTCAGTCATTTTACAACATTATTTATTTTTATATATTTTAAAAATGGTTCAGTAAGGATAATTTAGTCAACTTATGATTTAAATTTGTCAAAATGACCTATTTGCACCATATTAAAACTTTAAGGTTATTCATTACACGTAAAAAGCGTAATATATATTGTAAACATAC